ATCTTTGACAGACGCGACACTTTTGATGATTCCTTCCACCATTGCCGACATTCAAAGCTTACTTTGCACCATAAAACCCTCCATTAAGCCCTGTCTTGACGGACTTCCACCAACTCTGTATCGGTATGGTGGCCCTGACTTAACTGTTATCCTTTTAAACCTTTTCAATATCTCAATAAAGAGCGGTATCTTCCCTGCCCAATAGAAATCCTGGTTCATCATCTCCCACCACGAAAAAGGATCCCTATAAGCTATTGACAACTACCGTTCAATCACTGATACACCCATAAAAGGAAGATTAATGGAAAAATTAATAAATCTCATATAACACAACATCTACTTACACAAAGTCTCATTAACGATAACCAGCATGATCTTTTGAAACTTCGTTCATACACGACATGCCAACTGGACTTTTCAAAGTTTTCATGGCATCGATTGATTGTGGCGAGCCAGCCATAGAATTATTCTGAGACATGTCGAAAGCTTTTGATTTTGTCTCACACGCATGACTTTTGACAAAAATTCAAGGTTTCGGTATCACTTGGGCCCTTCTGTCATGGCTCACCTCATACCTCTCTAACCGGACCCAAACGGTTATGGTCAACGGCTCTCAATTTAACCCCAGACCCATAACCAGGGGAGTCACCCACGGTAGTGTCCTTTACCCGTTACAGTTCCTCATGTATGTAAATGATATTTCATCAGTTATAAAATTCGGCGTCCCTTTCCTATTTGCCAATAATATTAAAATCATCTACACGGATGAGACAACTCACCCTTCCAGCTTAGCTCAGAAAATCTCAGCCTACCCGCTTTCCTTTGAATCCTGGAGCGAAACATGGCGCATGAAATTTTCAGCCAGCAAAAGTGCTGCTCTCACTTACTAATGCGTTAGCCCCTGGAGGACTAACCCTTCATGACTGTCCCATTCCCTCTAGCTTTACTGCAATGGATCATGGAATACAGTACACCTGTATGTTCAACTTTTCTGAGCAAGCAGCTTTTCAAGCCGCCAAGGCGCGCTGAACATCCGGATTCGTCATTAGGTCCCTGAAACTGCACGAAAGCAGACTCCTATGATACACCACCCATGTAAGACCACTCTTAGAGTATTGCCCAATTATCTACTCTAACATGAGCAAAACTTCAAGAAGATCATTGAAAGTGTTCAGAGGGCTTTCACAAAGCAGCTCATTGGCTTCTCCTCCCAGGTATCGTACAAAGAAAGATGCGAAAGTCTGGAACCGGAACCTCTTTGGCTGCGCCGTACAAAGCTCAGCTTAGGTGTCTTTTACAATATTCTCCATGAATGGATCTTCTCTTCGACTGCCCAATTGGATTTCAGAAACAAATGTGGCTACTCGCTTCAAAATCAAAATTTCAATTTACCTTTCCCGGTCTCGAGGGTCTCCATTAGAAACAACTTTATTTCTGTGTACTCCAAGCTATGGAACACACTTTCGAGTGTATGCAATCCACTCCAGCCATTCATCTCTTCAAAGCTGCAATAAATAAATTCTTCGCCGTCCCAACCATGGTACAACTCACCAACTCAATTTTTCACTGTAGAAGATGCTGTTGCACTGGGGCTGCAGTTTTAAAACGGCATCAATCATTGTTGCTTTTCCATTTTCAATAAGACGCGTTATGTCTCCTTCCAAAACAACAGCTTTTGCACCATATAATATGCTCGTGCTTAGTTATCCACCGACAGTTATCCAACTTCAATGAAATTCTCTCTTGCTCTTCTATTTTAAACAAAGCATCCTCCGCCTCCTCTTAACAGCGAACTCATTTTGTCGTCCCTAAGACAAACCAGACCCTGTATTTTCATCTTTATTTCAGTTTAGCACTACAAACCTTGTTAAGGCCTTTCTACTCAAATGAAGTCAGTAGTGCTTGCCCAAAAGTTTCCTTTGAAAAACTTTGCTTATTCTTCTTAACTGACCGCCATCTGAGTACCGAATCCTCTCCTCCTCCACCAATCGCCTGATGACCGTTCTCAAACCTCATTCGTGTTTTCTCATCCTCTTTTCTTTCTACTTTAACGTCCTCCGCTTATCCTTAAGAAGGAATCTATTTTCTCGTCAAAAACGGAACACAAATGAGTTATTCCAACGATATTTTGGTGAAGAATACCGGACTACGTTTGAGCTAAACCGCTCAAATCAGACTGGTGCTACTCAGAACAGAATGTACTTCGTAAAACCTTGTTTCTTCTCATGAAGTTTCTTCCTCTTGCCCACCTGATCCTCTGCATTTTGGGAACTTTAATCCCAAATGTGTCCAAACTTCAGTCAGGTTATCTCCTGCTCTTCTTTTTTCACCTTTGATTCCTCTACATCATTCGCTCAACAAATATCTTCTGATGCCATACAGCCAGCACAGGATCACCGTTTTAATTTTTATTTCAGTGTGGGTTTAGGAACCCGTTTGAGCAAATCCGCTTAGTTGGTATCGGTGCTACATGGACTAGAATGTCCTTCGTAAGACCTCTTTTATTCTCCTAAACTCACCTCCCTTTTAGATATGAACCGTCTCATCATTAGTATCTTGCCTGCTGAATGTTTCCAAACTTCAGTTAGGTTCTCTTTTGCTCTTCTATCTTCACCTTTGCTCCCTCTGCATCTTTTCCTCGACGAATCTGACTTGAGGCCACAGAGCAAACTCTGAATCGCTATCCCCACTTCTATTATTATCGCAAAGTCTATCTACTGGCAACTAATCGATGCAATTTAATTGGTTTAACTAAATATTTCATTTTCATGACTGATACAAACTTCCCGCATAAGGTTGAGCGATAACATGCATGCTTTCTCTTTCCCCCATCTCTTCAGTTAGGAGCCTACCCAGGCTGTTTCCCATTTCCGGCCTCCTTTCCAGAGATCGGCTGCTGTCAGAATAACGGCGACTTCCATCGGAAAGATCCGATATGCAACGGTAAAGAAAACCGAAGTATAACCAAAAACGCAAAGGCAAGATCCTATGAAATCTCCTATCGACGGGACCGTTTTGTTAAACAAATTCAACGTGATTCTGCAAACCCACACGCAGCGACCCCATGTCTCGTGGTTTTATCCATGATGGAAGACCTGGCGACGTCTTAAACTATTTTTTCCGTCTTGACCCGATCACCCTAGCACAGTGATATCACTGAGCAGTTAGTCGTACTGACAACTTTATATAACCATATATATAGAGGTATGACTGCCTTATGTATTTGTGATTAATTCAAAAATAGTACTGTAGACGATTTTTGGATCGACTTGGTTTTCGATAATTTGGGTAACGCGTTGCTCTGAGATTTGTTTATCGCTATCCAGAACGAGCGAAGGATCATTTGATTGAACGTATACAGACGAGGTNACATTTTGGCTGGATAGTGAATCAGGCTCACTATCAGAGGTATGACTGCCAGATGTATTTGTGATTATTGCAAAAATATTACCGTACATTCTTTTTGGATCGACTTAGTTCTCGATAATTCGAGCCACGCGTTGCTCTGAGATTTGTTTATCGCTATCCAGAACGAGCGAAGGATCATTTGATTGAACGTATACAGACGAGGTCTTTTCCGTTTCACTCAGAACAGGAAATCGCGTTTTGTTCATTGCATACAGGTCAAGCTCTATTAGACGTTCAGGATAGGCAAGGTATTGCATTCCAACCACCGCTTTCGTTGCCGCTCTTTGAACTCGTTCAAGAGCATCACGATCACGAATCAGGAACCAGGAATCAACAACTTGACTACCATATTCTAGGAAAAGACGGATATAGGTGCAAATGAGTTGAAACACTTTCCTGGTGATATGGGATAGAAGGGGCATTCGAAAAAGGTGGAGAACACAGAAGGCAGATTTACTGGCTTACTGGTTGTGGTGTGAAACAGAGAGGCTACTATTTAACCAGAAGCCTAGAATCTTGTGCAAGTTGCTATTGAAGAGGTTGCATACCACTTATATAAAACGAGACGAGAGAGAAGTTCCCAAGATTCATGCCTAAACAAAGGATTAATAATGGCCACGGCCAATCTAGCATCCAGAATTTTTTAGGTGTGTTTGCTCACTGGATGCGCGTTCGTCAACCAATTCGCACTTGAGTGACGCGTAGCCGTAACCGCTTTGAATCCCGAAGTAAAACACGATTGATCCGTAATGTTCTACTGTACTCAATTAAAAAAATCATTACAAAATTTACAAAAAAGCAAACGCCAAATATGCGGTCAAAAGCAGTCAAGCAATTAAGAACCAAAAAGGATGTCCAACAAGAGCCAAAAAGCCACTCACATTCTCTGATCTCGCCAATTGAAATGTGGCAGGTATCAAGGCAATAGGTAAACAATCGTGTGGGTGTTTGTGAGTGAGAATGCGTCAAGAAACAAGCAGCGCCAGATAAAAGTTACGTCAAATGTAATCATTGTGGGTTGGGAAGGATTTTCAAAAATTCAACGTAAAATACTATGGGTGCCCACACCTTGGGTATCACGTTCAGCTTCTTGGAGAAGATTTTAGATTCATTGGAGTCGTCCCCCTCGTTGCTGGTGGTTCCGGTGGTTCCTTCGTCTCTGAATCTTCCAAATCATTATCTCTTTTCATGAACTTATACACTTGTTGCAAGACAAACAATTTCACGAAACGTAGGAGAATCGTATTTTGAATAAACCTGGAGAGCCAAAAGTGTAGATGCGGAAGTGCGAGGAAGTGTGCGGAAGGGAAGGCAACTATGCGTTGAAAAAAGAAGTGGCCTCCGTGCAATAAAACTATAAGACGTAAGAGGAGAATGTTACATTTAGAGTGAAAATAGTTGGTGTCTCTTAGCTAGTGGTTGGTGTCAATTATAGTTCAGTTTCATGTGCGATCGAGCTGCAATGGTTGCGATGCGATCCATTACTGACGGCAGGGGCAGGATACCCACATAAACCTCGACACTAACGAGTGAAAGTTCAAATCACATGCAGTCGGTTCTCCCATAGCCCCTTGAGGAGCGTCTCTTGTTTCCTCCACCATAGTTGCGACAATAGACGCAGGTCGGATTAGGTGAATATGGCTACTGCTAATCTATCGTCCGGTATTATGCATATTCCATGAACACTAAGCTTTTCTGATATATAAAAATGAGAAACCGGATCTCATCTCACCAAATAGGCTTGAGCATGTTTAGGCGTCGGCGTTCCATTACGAGCAACAATATAGTATTTTGCACACTCACACGCTTACGCTGCTGAAAATAGGAATTTTTTCACCCATTTCTTATCCAGTGCAGTCTTA